CTCTAGTTCTGGAAGCTGTGATAATACAATAATTTCAAATCATGTAAAACGGAAGTTACTATTTAATGAGATAATGGCACATTCTTTGGGCGATTTCCCTTTCTACATGAATCATTATCAGGTCTGTTAAAGCGAGTGCATAAAATGATGGGTGGCTGGGTACTGCGTAGAAATAGTCTTTTTTTTCTTTTGTTAAACATTTGGAAAGGGAAAGCATGAAGAATCGACAGTAAGAAGAGGAAAATAAGAGATGAAGAGAAAAACGAAGTAGTAAAAGTTGACATTGAGTTATGACTTGTTTGAAAATCAGTGGCTTGATAATTTCATTTGAAGTGATTAAAGACTGTTCTAACTGCTCACATACAAAAGATTTACAGCAGCTATTTTTAAACCAGGAATCTCCACCATTATATCACTTTCACCACCATGACGTTTACATTACATTTTCTTATAGCCATGAAGACAAAAAAAAATTCAAAATAAAAAACTACCAGTCACCATTTAAGCCACCAGCAACGAACACTTCCCGAGGGTATCAAAACACAAAGTAGTGGGTGTAGGTGTTTATTCTTGACGGATTACAGAAGCCAGGGGTTTTGTGCAGACTGCCTACACCCAGCGGCCAGCGCCATCCCAACCCTGTGTGTGGTGATGTCCTTACCAGCGCTGCCAGCACCACATTGGACAGGTTTTCAAGACGTGCTTTAGCTATGACAATGTATTTGTATTTGATTTTTTTTGTGGTCCTTTTTAGTTTGTTGTTCATAATGTAAAGCCGATTGGCTGGGCATGGTCACCTTTGCTAATTATATGTCTATTTGTTGTTATATTATCTTATGAAGTTAACTATAAAATCTAAAATGTGGTGCTATATTTAAGAAAAAGATGAATGGATAATCTTTGGAGAGTTTGGAGAGAAAATATTGAAACTATCTTGAAAAAAAAATACAACAAAGTTTTTTTTTTGTCCATTTTCCTGCAGTCTGGCACCGCTGGCACACAGCTGTTCCTTCATAAACGGCTGCATTACAAAAATCCTGGCAAATCTTCTTTTGTGAGGTATCAAAATAAAACTATCATGATTTATGTGTCTAACAAAATTGTATATGCTAACTAAAAGCTGATCTGTGACTTTCAGAAAAGCATAAGCACAAAGCACAGAGCTGTTAAAGAAAGACTAAAATCCATAATTATCATCATCATTATCATTCTTTTATTTTGTCTGGCAATTGCTGCATGCTGCTCTATGTAATCCTACTTAATAAGCAATTATGAAACCTAAATTTTGTTTATTAGGGAGGGATGCGTGCCGCCTTGTAAAGAAACAAACTTTCTCTTTAAGTCTATCGCTCAGAACAACAAAAAAGCTGATGTCATCTACAACGGAATGTTACAGATCAATTACCAACTTGTCACAGATTATCCATATTCATTACATTTTTTTTTGTTACATCAACACTCTGAACACTGAGAAATTTTATATACGAGCTAACAATTCGACCAACCAATGCAACAACTGCTTCCAAGACCGTTCCTGATAACTGACGTTGAGGGGTTTGGGTGGGTGTCAAAACAACACTCTTTATGCGAAGAATGCAAGCTTTACACCAAAATCCAGTGCCAAATAATCATGACAAAAACACAATTTCAAGAGAGGGGGAATAGTGAGGGGGGAACGGATAGCATAGGGAGATCAAAACAAAAAAAAAGAAACTTTGCAACTCGTCATGCAAAGCAACTGCTGCAATGGTTGCTCTAATCTGTGTGGTGAAGAGTAACAGCAACCTTCAGACAGAACTTAAGGAGAGTCCCTCTTGTGTTGTCGGTATGAAAATGGGGCTTCCCGAAGTCCTCGCCTCCAGGCAACGATCACAAGACACTCCACATTTACACGTAGGATAACCTTTTGATTGTTATTATCTAACAGCTTGTAGATATCCTGGCAAATATATGCTGCCATAAATACATGTCAGGATTACAGTACAATTGAGAAGCGACATAGGAAAGGTTTACAATGGGACTCATTGTACAGAGTGAATTTACAAAATATAGATGGCCTTCCTCTAGCGCACCAGTCAACACACTTTGTCGTGCCCGGGATTCCAATTTGGATGCAAATGCTCACAATGGCTGTGGCAGGTCCTCCTAAATGATCAAATCAAGCAATGCCAATGTTAGAAAAAAAGACAAAAAGGTCACCATGCAAAAAAGTGTTTTGCCCGACGCCCCTGTCAGGTAGGCCACCTATGGTATATTATACATCATGTAGTCCGATACATACCAACCACAAAAGAACCAAAGTTATCACCCAACTCACATTGTCAGACAAGAAGCTGATTGTAAATTTACAAACAGGGCATTGTCACATATTTATACAACTGGTTTCTGAAAGGAATGAATCGCTAATCATTTGTCTTTCATTGTGAGTTTGAGCGTGTGTTATTTTAAAACTGAGAACTAAAATCACAAGTTAAAATTGAAAGGATACTTGGTTAATAATTATAAAAGACTTGATATAAACTTGCCTCTCATATTGACCTAAATGCATTACCTCTGCTGGAAGGTAAGAAAAAAAAAGTTCTGCACTTTAAAACCATGTTTGAAAGTAAAAAAGTCCCAATAAGCGAAAAAGGGGAAAAAATAATACAAAAAAAAGAAACAGTAACAGCAGATATGTTCAAATTTCGAGACGCAACTCAAAGTTTCCGTCGATCGCCAGCAGAACGCCTCTCGGGCTGGGGTGAAATGTGCAAAAAGCTAAAAGTGACAATATGAGAGGAAGAGACCACTTACATGTAACACAGCGACAGTTCTCCCAAATTGGCTAAGGTACCCTGAGGTCTGCACATGTGTACCATCAAGCCTCTATTACTTAATACAGTATTAACTTTTACTCTCAATAAGTACATAAGGCCTTCAGAGAATAAATAAGATCAAGGCAAAAATATACATACTAGATTATTATATAGAAAATAAAAAATTAGTACACCTTGTAAATGTCTCTTGCCTAAAATTTGTGACTTGCCTGGTGGTGACAGGCCCTCTGCACCGGGTGGAGAGAGCCTGTTTTCCCCACATTGTAAAAGTGCAAAGTAGGAGAGCCATCCCTGTGTCGTACTGCCAGAGAGTTTGTGGAAATGACCAGTCATTATATCACACTTATGACACTTTGTTCATCTTTGTCATTCACTTTCTGGCACCTTAAAAAGATTAATATTAGCAAAAATTATTGTATTTTTTTTACATAGCCAGTGACTAAACACTTCATATTTTTTTTTTACTACAGTGGACTACTAAATACATATATCCTCCTATCTTGAATATTCTACAAAGTAATATGATACCAAATAATATAGGCAGGTTGAGATATGTAAACATTTCTAACATTCCGTGCATGTGTTACCGGGTGTAAGTGGTAACCTTTATGCTGCCGTCATACCCTTCAAAAATATAAGATGGACTGTATTGGATACAGATTCCTCCACGTGGCAGCTGTCAATTCCATCTCGTCAAGCCAATACCAACTTTCACTCCATCCCCAAACTCTACTGAGAAGTCCATCACACAGGCAAATTTCAGGAGTACCCTGCTACACACCATACATTATATATATATATATATATATATATATATATATATATATATATATATATATATATACATATACATATATATATATATATATATATATATATATATATATATATATATATATATACATATACATATACATATATATATATATATATATATATATATATATATATATATATATATATACATATACATATATATATATATATATATATATATATATATACATATACATATATATATATATATATATATATATATATATATATATATATATATATATATATACATATACATATATATATATATATATATATATATATATATATATATATATATATATATATATATATATATATCCCCTTCTTTATTTCAGTGAATCTTCACCATTGTCAAATTTTGCAGTTAATGCAGATAGGCGGCTGAGATTCCAACGCTTGGCTCTTCCCCACTGCTGTAACTCTGCTAATAAATACCCTCATCTCATTTTTATTGAAACATGAATACCTATCAGCATTATGGCAACCGACGACCCTACTCCCTCCCCCTCCCCTCCCCTAACCCTTCATCAGCTCTCCCAGCATAGCCCATTTCCCTTCGCCATCACCCTTTTGGAATATTCACGCAGCATCAATCACATTCTCTGAGACATTTGGCGTGGACCCTGTGCAATACTGATGGCAGAACGGCCGACACTTCCGTCAGTTTCTCCGTTGGTCCTTCAGTTCGGCGCCCGGCAACCTTGGGCGCTGTGGCAGGATGGAGTAAATTGGCTGCATCCATAGAGATAAGAATGTTAAGATTCTCCGACTCAAGAGGACGTCCAGGTCAAAATAACGAATCAAATGTGGGTTAGTTTGTTATGCAATTAATACCATTTATCCTAATTACTGCTATTTCCTCTACAGCAAGCATGAATGAATACTCATCATTACTGATGCCCAGTAATCAACCCCTTAAGGAAGACTCTGAACACTCTTTCCTACATCAACAAAGCCCACGGGGGTCCAGCAGATCTTCACTCAGTTACACTTATGAAGGGGGGGAAGGGGTTTAAATTTTGAGGGTTGAGTCGTCCCACTCGAGCTCCTTCGGCTTCCCTTCCTCCTCGTCCGACGAGTCCAAGTCGTCGTTGAAGTTGCTTCCATCATCTGACGAGTCGTCGTCGTCATCGTCATCATCCCTCAATCGTTGTGTCTCTGCCAGTTCCAGCTGTTGCTGTAAAGGAGGAGTTTAGACTGTCATATGCAACATTGCGGTTTGATTCGTGGATTCGGCTTTGGTGCCACGTTATCCAAGGCTTTTATACCCTTGTATTTGGGTTTTAGAATCCACCATTGAGGCGATGGAGTGTTTAAGTTATTCAGAACACACTTGCGTTGTAAACTCTTACCGCCGAACAAAAGGACACGTGTATAAAAAGATTTTTTTTTATGGAATTAATTGAATAAACGTTAAATATGTATTATGATGATTGCTCATGCTACTAGTCCTGAGTAAATCTGGTACCAAAGAGGAGGGGGGGGGGGGGAAGTGAGGGGTATGAAGGAAAATTAAATAAAAAAAAAACATACTGAACAGAAAGAAAAATAAGAAGTTTGTAAATGTAAATGAAAAATATAAAGAAACAAAGAAGGAAAAATGTCAAAATACCAAAGAGAAAGCTGATGAACGATGATGGAAAAAAAAACTAAACCATAAGTAACAGAACTCGAAATAAAGACCCCACCCAAGAAAAATAAGAATAAGAATAATAAGAAGAAGGACAACACCCCTGTCCTACCCCCACCCCCCTCCCCACCAAAGAGAAAGAGAGAAAGAGAGAAAGAGAGAGAGAGAGAGAGAGAGGGAGAGGGAGAGAGAGAGAGAGAAATAAACAGAGAAATAAAGAGAGAGAGACAGAGATAGAGATAGAGATAGAGAGAGACAGCGACCCCCCCCCTCTCTCCTCGCACCAGGAAGAACAAGCACCATACCTCCATGGGGTTAACGGTGATATTGAGAGAGGAGTCATCCCACGCCATCTCTGCATCTGCAACATCCTCGTGGGTGTGGCGGGTGTGGGCGGCGCGTACACGGATCACGCCCAAGACCACCATGAACACGAGGAATCCAACGCAGACGACGATGATGATGGTCACTGCATGGCCTGAGGGGAAGGGAGGGAGGGGGGGAGAGGTTAATTTTAGGATGGTGGGGGGGGGGGGCGGGGTTATGATGAGGAATTATTATTGTTTTTTTTAATTATTGTGATGATGTTGGTGAGAGTTGTTTGGTATTTATAGATTACTTTTTTTGTGTGTTTTTTTTTCTTGGGTTGTCTTTATTTTACTTTTTTTTTCTTTCTTGATTTGGTGGTTAACGTATATTATCATGGATAAGTTAAGTGCATATCAAAGAATGGCCATAGCAGTAATGTGAGCAAAGCAAATACATTTAATAAGTCCCTCAATTGAAAAAAAAAATTAAAAACGTTAATTACACACCAATTAAAAAAATAAATAAATAAACATCACCTCCAAAAATCGTAAATTCCTCCCCCAATTATTACTATCATTATCATTATCATTATCAATATCATTATTATCATTATGATGATTATTATTATTTTTAATCCTCATCCTCGCACGGAAATCGCCTCGGGTTTGCCCTTCTCAGCCTACAGTGCAGATAGTGAGGTGACGTACTCTAGTGCCGAGGTCTGATGCCCCTCATGCTGTCACGTGGCACATACAGCATGACTTCGGCTCTCTGTCATGATGTGCTTAAGTACTATAACAAGGTGAATTGGTGAGCTGCCTTTTCTGGTGGGCGGTGAGGGCTGGTGGGCGGTGGTGTTGCGGTTCTTAGCCTCTCTGTAAGCCTACGGTGTGGGTGTGCAAGTTTTACGAAATGGGAAGCCGGGGAATTTAGTTATTTATCTTTTTTTTTGAGAGTTTGTACTTTACTTTACTTGGAATCGTAAGGGAATGGCCATACACAAGAGACTTACTAATAAAACGATCTTTCTTTAATCAACACTCTCTCTCTATATATAAATATATATATATATCTACTGCACTACAAAATCACTCTCAAAAAAAACAACAAGAAAGATCTAGCATCCAAGAGACTTCGTGGCAAAATCTCAAAAGGACTCAAAATGAAGTCGCCACTCTCAACTGTCCGATTCCCTGCGTCCCATCGTCCTAAAGTGCACGAATAATGATCTACGAGTGTCGTAGTGTACAGCGCCTGAAAACCTCACCCGCGGCAAGCACAGCTGCCTGCGTTCTGCTCCCCCCATACATGTCTGTTGGACCATAAGCAAGGACAAAGCGTGAGAGAGGCTATGTCGCCACTTTATAGTATGGGCTTTGGCTCTACACTACATGTGGTCTACCTTGGGCAAAGTCAACGTATTTCTGACACAGTTGACGATTTTTTTTAGGATTTTAAGGTTTAAGATTTGTTCTGATACATTTTATGATTTAGGAACATCTTTTTCTCAGATACATTTTGCGATCGTACATCTTAATATCTTTTTTTCTGATACATTTCATGTTCGTACATAAAAAAGAGTATCTTTTCTGATATATTTGACAATCATACATTTTAAGATCCCCTTTTTTAGAGTTCTGGGAGAGGAGTATGCCGACTGATTTCCTTCAAATAATTCTAATGATATTACTTGGATAACTAGCTCTCCATTCTGATATGCTGCTTCTTTTCCATCTACTAATTACAGTATAAAAACACACCAGAGAAATACAATGTGACTATCATTATCTACGATCACAACTCCTCTAATAAACATTATTAAGGGGTTTAATATGTAGGCAAGAATGGAGAATTTTATCTTTACTCTCTGGTTCTGAACTGTACATAAAGTTAAAATACTTTTATGGTCTTTTGTTATTTATATCGGTACTCTGTTACAATATGCAATAACATCCTAAAGTTCTCATAATAACTGCAATAAAAGAAATGAAGTATTTGGATGAAAAAGCATGAGGTCTTACGGAATGGGATTAATTTCTTGAAACCATAATCATAGTTGGTTTCATCTTCAGCTCAAATATAAAACCGAATCTACAACACCCCTAAACGTTCTAATTACTATACACGTCATTACTATACATGTCTTCTCTAAAAATATCACAAGTACATAAAGGGCCTAGAAATAAACTTTTGGCAAGAGCTAAGTTATTGCACAGAACCTACATTAAATGAACTTGAACAAAACAAACAATTACATATTTCACATCTCATGAGGGTTCTTACGAGATTTTGGTGTTTTAGTTATCATTACTGCTATGAGAAAGATTAGATTCAGAAAATCTAAAAATATCCCCCCAAAATAAAAGAAAAAAGAAAAAGAAAAAAAAGGAAGGGTTTCAAATAGACACGAACTACCTACCTAAGCTAACCATGCACAAATGCTGTGCAAACTATCAACATTTTACCATCTTGTGCATGGGAGTGACTATATAAATATCCATTCCAAGCCACTTCTTTCACTCCTACGTCAATTTTAGATTATCAGAATTTCATTAAAGATAAATTTCATCAAATACTTTCTTCCTCTGCTGATCTCTCTTATTCAAAGTTCCTTCCATGCGAATTATTAACTATTTTCGTTTCTCTTATGTTTCTTTCATAGATTTTCATCAGTCATTCCTCAGTACTCCCTCCCTCTTATCTAAAAGACGCTTTATTGAAGCTTTGCATATATATTTCTTTAACTATTCTCGATCATCTTAAATCCTTAGACAATGCCAATACATTTTACTTTTCCCTATATGCATGTAAATATATATATACATCCACACATATAATTATATACAGTTCAATCTTTAAAGATCCCTTGTTCCCTAGACATTTGTCTTACAAAAAAATTACCTTCCTATAATATACACCCATAAGTCAAACAGCATATCCCTTTATCTTCTATCACTTGCTTATTACTAAAATAAATGAGCGTATTTCCACGTATGAAAATGCAAAATAAGAAATCTTTTACACTCAAGCTGCAAAGTAGGACTTACTGGCGCTGTTGACTGCTACTCCCTCCATGACGTTTGAAGTGAAGTAAACGTCATTGACGGTGTGGGCGGGTTTGAGCTCGACGTGATGAGCGGAGAGCTTGGCATGAGCTGGCACAGGCTGGGGGTTGTGGTGTGTCAGGTGGGCGTCGGCCTCCTGGTGGGCGTTGTGGTTGTTGTGTTCCATGTGGGGAGGAATGCTGTCGGTGTTGGTGTTGAAGGCTGCGGTCTTGTCCACGCTGAGTTGCGGGTGGATCACGGTCACCTGTTGGAAATATTGCCATGGTGAAAAAAGGTGTTCAAAATCCTTAAATTCAATTGAAGACAAAGCGAATAGTTCGATAAAGGACTGAACTCTAACCAGGTAGTCAAACGGCACTCACCGTCTGGACATATTCGTTACTTGTGAAGCGACCACCGAGCTCGGAGCAGGACAGCTTGAAGGCCCGGTTCAGGTAGTAGGCTGGCTTGCGGTTGGCGTAGTGGATCTGGCGCAGGATGGACTGGTAATGGTGCGTTGTGTGGGCCCCGGACACGGTGGCTCCCTGGCGCGTGATGGAGGCGGCCAGGCCGAGCTCAGCGATCAGGTTGTCGGGGAGGACCAGCGTCTCGTGGTCGGGGTTCAGAGGGGGGTACACCGACACCACGCACTCGTCCAGCTGGCCGCCCAGGGTGGGGGCCGTGGCCTCCTCCGCGGCGGCCGAGAGGTAGATGCCGACGTCAGGGAACACTCGCAGGCCCTGGCGGAAGGCCTCGTACTCCTCGGCGAAGTTGGTGGTGCCGTTGAGCTCGATGCTGGGCTGGTGCGGCTGCATCACCACCACGAAGCTCTGGGCGGTGGCAACCTTCAGGGCCTTTTCGGAGTTGCACCTGGGGAGAGTGGCAATGGTTAATGCAGATTATACAGATGGGGAGATATCCCACACTATAAATTCATAGTCTGTTCACTGCACTTGAAATCTATAAACATTTATGAAGACACTTACAAGATGTTAGTTGTCACAGAGACAGGGCGACGTCCCGGGGTGGGGAAGTCTCGGCCGTTGACGTAGGCCACGCGGCGGATCAGCGTCTCGAGGTTAGTCACATTATTGCCTTCGATGGTGATCTGTGTCATTTCTATATAAAAAAAAAACATACATAAGTGCATACATAAAAAACAACCTACATCACTATACATCCATCCTCACACAATGCCAAAACCACAACCATAACAACAAAGGAATCCGTACCATTGTTGGTGAGGAGCTCCATGCTGGGCTGCAGGAGTTCCATGGCAGGAGTGTCGAGCGACTCCTGGCAGCGGGTCAGGCAGGACAGGACGCGCGGCGACTCCAGAGCGCCCACGAGAACCGAGAGGCCAGCCAGGTAGCCAGAGAGGCCGTGCTTCATGTTGCCTTCGGAGCCTGAGGAGGAAAAACCTACGCATTGTCTTACTATGTTATCAAGAAATGGGGCCGTGGGAAGCGAAGGGAAAGGCGTGATTGAGAAGATCTTCCTGACGACAAAGGCGAGGACGCCCTTGTACACGATCCATTCTCATTCACATCCTCCTCCCTCCTCAGTATATTTACATTGACTACAATATCTAACCAACAATCTATATTGTCTAAAAACCGCATTTAGAAGATACTACATCACACGCAGTATACCAAAACAACCCATTCATTATGAAAAAAGAACTACCAAAGAAAACCAAATCGTGCTGACCTTGCCAGCAAGCGCCGACGCTCATAGTGGTGTTGATGCCACGCGTTGGGTGTAGGGGCCAGTCATCAATCACCTGAAACACGTCACGTTGTGTTAATTCATGTCTTAAACAAGACTGGCGCATCCTTGATAAAAAGATAGTGCCAATATTTGGCCCTCAAAACTAATCATATTTAATTGAAACTGATTAACTAATACTAATGTCAAACAAATTATCAACATGCTAATATCAATAAAACATTAATATTAATAACAAGCTAATTTTAATAAAATACCAATATTAAAAACAAGCCGTCATTAATAACAAGCTAACATCATCAATATAACCAAATACTGAACACAAATCACTATCAAAAACAAACTCCTATAAAAAAAACATATATAATATAAACAAAACGATCCAGAACAACAAAACACGGAACCCACCTCAGGAGACTCTCCATTCTCGGGCCTGAAGATGTGGCCGTCGACGTAGAGGGTCACTTCCGGCAGCTTCACGTGGACAGAGTAGTGATGCCATTCATTGTCACACACCTGCAGCCAGGATAATGCATTAATAAAGATATATATAAAACAAAAATCCTTCTCTAATTAATAAAAAAAAATTAGGAGCCCTGATATATATCAATGCTTAAGAAAATTCATCTCAGGAAAAAGTGTACCTGCCTTACTACTGAGAACAATTATATACATAAAAACAAAAAACAAAAATAACTCTTAAAAAAATAAACATAAGTATAAACACCAAACGGCTTCAAGAGACCGAGCTCCTCTCTCCAAAATCGTCCGGGGAGAAGCTCAAAAAAAACATCACAGCTCACCTGGGGGAGCTTCCACCTCCACTCGGCCGGCTGGAAGGTGTTGAGGTTGGCCTCGGTGTAGTCGCGACGCAGCAGGAGGATGAGGCGGCAGTTCCTGACGAAGAGGGCCATGTGGTGCCGGTTCATCTTGTGGTCGTCGGCGTTGCAGAGGATGTGCTCCTTGGTGTGCTAGAAGGGGAGAGGGGGGGGCGTTCAGTTGAATTAAAAGGATATCTACGCAATATGTATTTGGTATCACGTGATTTACATCTGATGGACCATTTGAATTTAGTATCACGTGATCTGCATCTGATGTCGTGTGATTTGAATTTGGTATCACGTGATTTGCACCTGATGTGCGATTTGAATTTGATACCACCTAATCTAAATTTGACATTATGTAATTTGCATTGTGCTACTGATTGGATTCACTGACAGAGCAGAATACACAAAATAAGGGAACTTTAAAACTACTTTAACCAAAACAGGAAAAAAAACCTCAAACTCCAACCAATCTTCCCCCAAAATTCGCCCCAACAATATACACCAAAACCCCTCCTCCCTTCGCCTTCCGCCCTACGCCAACCTTCTCACGAACCCAACACCCGCTCGTTACCTTGTCCGTGCCCGCCTGCGACTTGTGCTTGAGCCAGGTGGATATGGTGAAGGTCGACGTCAGGTTGTGGTTGAGGACAGACTCGGGGATGAGGGTGCCGGAGGAGTCGCCGTCGAACTCGTAGATCAGGTCCCCTTCGTGGCCTTCGTCAGAGTGGAGGCCGGCGGTCCAATCCTTCCCTGCGCCGGGCGCCGGCAGGAGCTCGATGCTGGAGGAGCTGGCACCTGCAGAAGGACGGGAAGAAGAGACGATAAAGACAGGAAAAAAGAGGAGGTAGTAAGGATGAAAGAGAGAAAGAAAGAAGGGAAGACAGGGAGGAGAAAGACTGGAAGAAAGAGGAGAAGAAAATCGAAAAAAAACGATGAAATGGAAGAAGGCGAGGAAAAAAAAAGACGAAGAAAGGGAAGACAAAAAAAGAAGAGAAAAAGAAGACGAAGAAAAGGATGAAAAAGAAAATTAAAAAAGAAGACGAAGAAATATACCACTACGATGCCGAGGACGAAACCCTGCCGTGACTTACCGCACATCTTCCTCTGCGCCGCCACGGAGTAGGTGTCTCTGTCGCAGCCCTTGCCGATGTGGCTGGTGGTGAGGCTGATTCGCGCCTGCACCCTCTCCACGCGGCAGGGCACGTTGCACAGCTCCAGGGACGCCGAGGGGAACAGCTCCTGGCGACCGGAGCCGGGGGAGTACTCCACCTGGTCGGTGATGCCTGCGGGGGGCGGGGAGGAGGTCAGGGGTGTCCTTTGGGTTATGTAAAAGCTGACACACGCCTGTATGTCCCGTTAACACGCAGATACACATAGATGCATAAACACAAACATTGACACACACACAAACACGAATGCGCGCGCACACGCACGCACGCACGCACACACACGCACACTACTACAAACTCCTCTTCACACACGTTCACTCACTCGTATACACATAAATTGTACACACCAACAAACACACAAACGAAGACAAACACTAGCATATAATGCACGGATGCCTCTTATTTACAACTCCCGAACTTGCACATGTACCTAAATATGGAATATGCAAATGACTTAGTTGCTGCTAATTTGAACATCATTTACATAGACAATACAAACTACATTTCCCCCTACCCCCCCATTGAAAGATAGAACGCCAAAGTTAGCCCACTGCATAACAAAACGACATTCATAGCTTTGTTTGTACGAGTCAAGAAAATTTGAATTTCAAACGGACGTAACGGTTTTCCTTGTTTATACTGCGAAAAGGTAGGCATCGTATTATTATTCATAGCTGCAAATGCTCTAGATAAAACGGGCTATTAAATCTCGGCCATCAATGCTATAAACGTACAATCATCATATAAAGCTTTCATTAACTGGCAAACAATTATTCGGTGGCCATCAATACGGCAACGGACTCGAAACTGAAAAATATTTAAATGGGGGGAAAAGTGAGAGGAATGTTTTGATTTTGTTCCAAATCTCGAAATAAAACAAACGGTTTTTGTTTCTGTGCCATTTCTGTTGTTGAATCAAATATGGAGTTTTGATACATGTGAGAAAATATCTTTGACGGATGAAAATAAAATGAAAACTAAAATGATTTCAAATGCTTCATTGGAGAAAATAATGATGAACGAGAGAGGGAAAAAATTACTTCGACCTAAAACTATACCAAAATACTTTATTAATTACACATTTCAATTTGCACACACAAACACGCATGCGCACACGAACACACACACACACACACACACACACACACACACACACACACACACACACACACACACAAACACACACACAATCACAAACACACACAAAAAAAAACACAAACACAAAAAAAAAACGCACTGACCTTTCCATCCCAGGTGACACACTCGGTTGACCTTGATAGTGACCATGACAGGCTGCGAGCGCTCCATCCCGCAGTCGTACGCCACCACTGACAGGATGTGGTTGTGGGATTTCTCGTAGTCCAGGGGCTCCGTGTTCCGCACCACGCCCTCGCTGTCGATGCTGAAGGGCTGTGGGCGTCGGAGGGAAGAGTGAGTGGGGGGGGGAGGGAAGAGTGGGGGGGGGAGGGAAGAGTGGGGGGGGAGGGAAGAGTGGGAGGGGAGGGTGAGTGGGGGAGAGAAGAGAGAGGGGAGGGTGAGTGGGGGAGAGAAGAGTGGGTGGGGTTGGTGAGTAGGTGGGGTATAGGATGTGTGGGGTTGAGTGGGGTGGGCGCGGGTGGATGAATGAGTGGGTGGATGCGTGGGGGGGAGGAGTGGATGAGTGGGAGATAAATGGATGAGTTTGGTGGTGTGGATGGATGGATGAGTGGCGGTGGATGGACAAGTGTTGGCGTTTAATGGATGAATGTGGAAACAAGCGGGTGGAGAGATGGGGGGGGGGTGTTATCTCGATACTCATACTGGCTAATCATTACCTAATGAATTACTGGCTTAACTAATCGGCGTTTCATCCAAGCGGTATATATATTTATGTACAAGAGCCTTTTAAATTATTTCTTCCTTTATCACATATACTTCTTAATCTTAGCCATTTATAACAAAAGAAGATGAAAAGTAAGAGGAGGCGAATAGAGAGAATAAGGAGACGAAGAAAACTAACGAAGGGGCGAAGAAGTGTAAGAAAAAAAAGGAGACGAGGATGGAGAGCAAGAAATTAAATATAAAGAATGAGGGGGAAACGAACGTTGAGAACAAGAAAGGAGACGAGGATGGAGAACGAGAATAAGAAAGAAGACGAGGATGAAGAACAAGAATAAGAAAGACGACGAGGATGAAGAACAAGAATAAGAAAGACGACGAGGACGAAGAACAAGAATAAGAAAGAAGACGAAGATGAAGAACAAGAATAAGAAAGACGACGAGGATGAAGAACAAGAATAAGAAAGACGACGAGGATGAAGAACAAGAATAAGAAAGAAGATGAGGATGAAGAACAAGAATAAGAAAGAAGATGAGGATGAAGAACAAGAATAAGAAAGACGACGAGGATGAAGAACAAGAATAAGAAAGAAGACGAGGATGAAGAACAAGAATAAGAAAGACGACGAGGACGAAGAACAAGAATAAGAAAGACGACGAGGATGAAGAACAAGAATAAGAAAGAAGACGAAGATGAAGAACAAGAATAAGAAAGAAGACGAAGATGAAGAACAAGAATAAGAAAGAAGACGAGGATGAAGAACAAGAATAAGAAAGACGACGAGGACGAAGAACAAGAATAAGAAAGAAGACGAGGACGAAGAACAAGAATAAGAAAGAAGACGAGGACGAAGAACAAGAATAAGAAAGACGACGAGGACGAAGAACAAGAATAAGAAAGACGACGAGGACGAAGAACAAGAATAAGAAAGACGACGAGGACGAAGAACAAGAATAAGAAAGAAGACGAGGACGAAGAACAAGAATAAGAAAGAAGACGAGGACGAAGAACAAGAATAAGAAAGAATCCGAGGATGAAGAACAAAACAAGAAAGAAGAATACGAAAGAACAAGAATAAGAAAAAAAAAGACGAGGACGAAGAACAAGAAAGAACACCAAACACGAAAACACGAAAGAGGAATCCGAAAGACGAAAGAACAGGCCGAAAGAACAGGCCGAAAGAAAGAACCAAGAACGCAAGAGAAGAGAAACACCCACCTGGTCCTTGGTGAGCAGTTCATAGCGGCAGATGTCTCCGTACTTGGGCGAGCAGTCCTGATCGTCAGCCTGCAGCGTCAGGATCTCGTCGTAGAGGCGCCCTTCGTCCACGCCCACCACGTACGAAGGCTCCACGAACACGGGCGCGTACTCGTTCACGTCGTTCACTTTCACGTGGACGGTGACGCTGCGGGAGAGAAGGGGAGGGGGTGAGAAGAGGTTGGGGTGTTACTGGGGGAAGGGGGTGTTATTGGGGGGATTGGGGTGTTATTGGAAGGATGGGGGTGTTATTGGGGGGAACGGGGTGTTATTGGGGGGGAACGGGGTGTTATTGGGGGGATGGGGGAGTGTTATTGGGGGGATGGGGGAGTGTTATGGGGGGGGGGGGTGACGTGAGTGTTGAAGAGAAAATTATAATCTACTTTTTATTTTTCACGAGGGGGGGGGGGGGTATCGAAAAATTAGGGAAACAAAATGTTGAGGGAGTGTAAAATATAGGAGGGGGGGGAGGGGTAATGAATCTACATCGTACCTTTTCCTTTGTTCCTAATTTAATACGCAAATAAGAACAAAAAAACTGATACTATGCGTTTCTACACAGAACACAACCCCATCTACTTCCTTTCCCTCTTAAACCAAAAAACAAACAGAAATCAAACCTAAACAAACCCCCCCTTCCCCCCTACCCTTCAAAAGAAAAAAAAAGTCCCCTCACCCCCAACCCCACCACCACCAAAAACAACCACAAAAACAAAACCAAAACCAACAACAACAAAAACAAAACCAAAACCAAAACCAACAACAACAAAAACAAAACCAAAACCAACAAAACCAACAACAGAAACAAAACCAACAACAACAAAAACAAAACCAAAACCAAAAACAACAGAAACAAAACCAACAAAACAAAAAGGCACACCAAGAGCTTACTTCTGAGACTCCACATTGGCGTCGCAGGAAACGGCGGTGATGTCGAACTTGTAATTCTTCCTCTTCTCGCAGTTGAGGGGACGCTTGGCTATCAACTCGGCCTCTCCCGTGGCCTCGTTTCTCAGCCGGATCTGCGAAGGAGGGCCGGGTGAGCGGGGACGCTTTTTATTATTATTATTATTATTTAGAAAGAGAGAGAGAGAGAGAGAGAGAGAGAGAGGGGGAGAGGGGGAGAGAGGGAGGGAGGGAGGGAGGGAGGGAGGGAGGGAGGGAGAGAGAGATAGAGAAAGAGAGAGAGAGAGAGAAATTGAGAGGGGGAGAGAGTGGGGGAGGGGAGGGAGGGAGGAGGAGGAGGAGGCAGAGAGGGGGGGAGGGAGAGGGAGGAAGAGAGGGGGGAGGGAGAGGGATGGAAAGAAGGGGAGGGAGAGGGAGGGAAAGAGGGGGAGGGAGAGGGAGGGAAAGAGGGGGAGGAAGACGGGGAGGGAGAGGGAGAGAGGGAGAAGAATAGGGGGGGGAGTGAGGGAGTGAGGCAGAGAAAGAGAGAAAGAAAGAAAGACAGAAATAAAGAAAGAGAAAATAGAAAAAGAGAAAGAAAGATAGAAACACACGCTTTTTTTCTCTTTTTTTTTAAGGAAGAGATTTGCATGTTGAATTAAACCTCGAGTTCGGTACTAAGCCATCTCCCTGGCTCTCTGTTTCTAAGCCGGATCTGCGGTAAAGAGGTTTTGCTTGAGAAAGGAAAAAAAAAAAACTCTTCCTTTTTTCATCTTATTTTTATCTTATTTATCTATCCATTTATTTACTTATTTTAAGAGAAATGGCGTAAGAGATTTGAATGTTGAATTTAACTCGGTTTCTTAATACTGTCTGCCGATAAAGTTGTTCTATTTGACAAATAAATATTTTACGCGTTTAGGAAAGGGTACAAAAATTTGCATACTGAATTAGGAGGTACAAGTTGCGTGAAATTACATTGTATCGGACAATTGCATTATTTTTACGTGTTAAAAGGATAGAGAAAATTGATGGTATTATATGTTCAATACTAATTCCCTGTCAATTCGTTGCTTATCTGCAACTGCAACTCAGAGCATTGATTTTTTTTTGGTTTGTTTTACGAAAAATATTGATAATAAAAAATCGAATTATATAATCAAATGTGTAGGTTCAATACTATTTTCTATTGACGATATATTGATTTTTTTTCTTTATGTTTTAAGTAAAGGATTAACAATAAAAAATCTAATCTAATTATAGAATCAAAAGTGTACGTTCAAATACCATTGCCTATTGCTTTGTCTCTTAAGGTGGATTTGCAAACCAAGAGGTTGCAATTGCGAAATATTTTAACATGTTAAGTTGCAAGTAAAATGTCCAGACTGATTATCCACTCGTCCTCCGTCTCTCTTTCTATCTATCTATCTTCTATCTATCTTCATTCCTTTCCTTCCTTTTTTTATTCCTCTTCGTCCCTTTCTTCCCTTTTCTCTTCCTCTCTCTTTTTTTCTTTTCTTTTGTTGAGCTCGCAAAGTCAAAACACTGTAATTGAGAAATCCTCTGCGTGTTAATTTTTTTTTCTTTTTTTTAAAGGATTTGCATGTTAAATTTATAAGCTAAGAAATGCAAGATTATAAATGGCTATCAACACTCCCGTCCTGTTGCTCCGTTTCTAAGTCTGGCCTGCACGTTGTAGTAGTAGAGGAATCCTTTACGTGTTGTGAGGAAAGGCCACGATAGACTTGTTCAAGTCGAGAAAAAAAATGTATGTTGAAGGTATAAATTTCAACAATTCGATTTTCTTTATGTATTAGTACAGGCATTCCTGTTCATCTCCTTTTCTTGCCAATTTTTCTTTTATCTAACTCTAAAAAAAACCAGTTATAAGAATCTTAAAATTATGAAGCTCAACTAAAATTTAATAAAATATATAAAATACATAAACCTTATCGTGATTGATCATGTATAACTAAATACCTGAAAAAAATATTTATTTATATTATACACATACGTAGAAATATATACACGCGTGTGTGCGGGTAGTGTGCGAGTGCGTGTGCAAGTGTGTGCCCGAATGTGCGTGCGAGAGGGCGTGTACGAATGTGCGTGCGAATGTATGCGCGTGCGTGTGCGTGTGCGAGCGTATGTGCGTGTGCGGGTGCGTGAGCGCACTTGTCTGTACATGTGTGTATGCGTCTGCATGTGCCCCATCCGTGTGCGTGTGTCAACTTAGCAACTCCCGTTAAGAAGAAAAAAGAAAAAAAAATCCCGACTCACAATGAAGGGCGCCTCCCCGTGGTGCTTGTTGACGATCCTGTAGAAGCAGACGTTGGGCGTGGCGCGGATGGGCGGCTGCACCTCGACCACGGTGTCCTTCTCGGAGACGAGGCCGTGGTAGCCCTCCGAAGGCTGCACGAGGTCGAACACCGGCACTCCTGCAATGGGGCAGAGGGAGGTCAGTCGGGGTCAAATGGGGTCAGTCGGTGCAGAGAGAGGTCACTCGGGGGTCAAAGGAAAAAGAGAGAAAAGGGTCCTTATTTAGGGCACTTATCTCCCCCCCCCTTTTTTTTGGGGGGGGGGGGGGCAATAAGGTCGTTCGTCTTTATTTATTTTCTATTATTTTACCTTTTTTTCGATTTACATTTTTCATGGATTTATTTTCATTATTTGGTTTAATTCATTTATTTCTTTTTTTTTTACCTCTTCTTTTTATGATGTTTATTTATTTATTATTATTTTTTTTACTTTTCTATACTGCTGCATTTGAAAAGATATATGTTAATGAGATATTCATGTTTCTGACTTGGACTCCAGTATCACAGGAAAAGTTTTCTCCGTCATATCAAACTTATTGCAAGAGAGGATAAGACAGAGAGAGAGAGAGAGAGAGAGAGAGAGAGAGAGAGAGAGAGAGAGAGAGAGAGAGAGAGAGAGAGAGAGAGAGAGAGAGAGAGAGAGAGAATGTATTATATATATATATATATATATATATATATATATATATATATATATATATTATATATATATATATATATATATATATATATATATATATATATATATACATATATGATTTGAAAAAAAATATCTAATAAATATGAACAAACATCAAAACGAGAACAAAATGTCATTTTTCTTGGCAATATAATAAAAACATTTACCGATTTTCCGAACACTATTAGCATGAAATACTTTAATAGCATCGAAAGAAAATAGAACAATTACTTTGCGCCTGCACTTTCGCTAAGGAACAAATTCACAAACAAAATTTAACAAAAGAAATAGAGAAAAAAGAGAAAGACGAAGGAGAAAAAGAAGAGAAAGACAAAAAAAGGATAACGCGGTGTTATAATTTTCCCGCCAAAAATAAAAAAGCCGTTGTTTACCTTGCTTAATCTACGCGCGATTGATGTTAGAAGAATAAAAAAATAGAAATGAATATAAAATAAGAGAAAAGTCGATTAAAAGAAGAAGAAAGAAGCTAACAGGATGTGAGGACAACGAAACCCAAGAAAAACAAATAAATAAATAAAACTATAGGACGGGGAAAAAGAAACAATTTCAAAATAAAAATCGCAAAAGAAAACAAAACAAAAAAACAAAACAAAAAATAAGGAAAGGGGACGAACAAAATAAAATACAGTAAAAATTTCCGATTTCCAATAGCGAACACGTGCTTGTAAACACCCCAAAA